TGAATAACTATTACTCCAAATATTATATATAAAAAGACCCAATATAAAATCTGATTACAAGAATAATCGATTTTATATAATGTTATAAGAAATTAAAAAATAAAACACTTTTATCAAAAAAGCCAATTCAATATTTATGTTTTCTTATTAAAGCGATGAAACCTTGAGATACATGTGTAATACATTTAATACAATTATTTTTATGGGCATTAAAGCAACTTACACAAAAGTAATATTCCAAATAAAAACCTGGACCTGCAGAAAACACAAAATAAAACAAAGTATAACCCCAAAAAAAATAAGATTTTAACACATTTCAGCCACTTCCTATGTGTAAAGTAATAAAAGTGCTATAAATGCAATAAATAGTATGTATTTCTCTATTTAAGGAGCTGTTGTTATTATTATATAAAAAGCAAACACAGCTGAGTTTGCATTCTGGACATAAATCAGAGATAATGAGAGCATTGAAATACATAAAGCGTCTCTGAGCACTTTTTATGATCTCTGCATTACATCAGCGTCTCCCGGGAGGCCGACCTGCGCACTGAGCAATGTTTACCGTGCTCCCACAATGCATTGCTGCAGCTGGACACAGAGCTTCAAAAGAAAGCGTGGGGGGGGGTTATTAATGGCCGCTCACAGGGCTCGATTTAGCTTCTCCCCGGCAACACGAGAAACAAAGACTCAGTGTTACACGTGTGGGAATACAGACGGAAATCTACATGCTGATTACCTACAGGATCTCTGTGGACTCTCTTAGTGCAGATTTCTGGAGAGGGATACTTAATGACAAGTTAAAACAAGTAATTACCACAAAAAATAACCAAAATATCACATTTTGGTAATCTTAGAGTATAAATACCAACTTGGTGTTCAATTATAACACTTATTACAATATTACATTGCACATTTTAAGCAGTAATCTGATCTTTTCATCATTAATATCTTAATGAATACCTAAACACGACAATTTATATAGACTCCTCTGTTTACTTCTGGAACATAGTGACATCACTATGTAACATTTGCGTTCCTATTGGCTAGCGCTCTAACACATTGTACGTGATAGGCTAAGAGGGCGGGACATCTCTAAGCGGCTGACCAATCACAACAGAGCCGGCCAGCTAACCAATCAGAGCAGACTGGGCCCTGGTTTCAGACAGAGGGTGAAAAGAGGTGCTGCAGCACAGGCAGTATGAGAAAAATAAAGAGCTTTTTGAACATTAAAGCATGGAGGCATGTAGAGACACTACATACTGATATACACCTGAACATCAGCAGGAGAGGACTCTTTAAAGTAGAGACACTACTGATATACACCTGAACATCAGCAGGAGAGGACTCTTTAAAGTAGAGACACTACATACTGATATGCACCTGAACATCAGCAGGAGAGGACTCTTTAAAGTAGAGACACTACATACTGATATACACCTGAACATCAGCAGGAGAGGACTCTTTAAAGTAGAGACACTACATACTGATATACACCTGAACATCAGCAGGAGAGGACTCTTTAAAGTAGAGACACTACATACTGATATACACCTGAACATCAGCAGGAGAGGACTCTTTAAAGTAGAGACACTACATACTGATATGCACCTGAACATCAGCAGGAGAGGACTCTTTAAAGTAGAGACACTACATACTGATATACACCTGAACATCAGCAGGAGAGGACTCTTTAAAGTAGAGACACTACATACTGATATACACCTGAACATCAGCAGGAGAGGACTCTTTAAAGTAGAGACACTACATACTGATATGCACCTGAACATCAGCAGGAGAGGACTCTTTAAAGTAGAGACACTACATACTGATATACACCTGAACATCAGCAGGAGAGGACTCTTTAAAGTAGAGACACTACATACTGATATACACCTGAACATCAGCAAGAGAGGACTCTTTAAGTAGAGACACTACATACTGATATACACCTGAACATCAGCAGGAGAGGACTCTTTAAAGTAGAGACACTACATACTGATATACACCTGAACATCAGCAGGAGAGGACTCTTTAAAGTAGAGACACTACATACTGATATACACCTGAACATCAGCAGGAGAGGACTCTTTAAAGTAGAGACACTACATACTGATATACACCTGAACATCAGCAGGAGAGGACTCTTTAAAGTAGAGACACTACATACTGATATACACCTGAACATCAGCAGGAGAGGACTCTTTAAAGTAGAGACACTACATACTGATATACACCTGAAAAACACCTTGTAGGAGTTTGATTTTAGCCATCGTTTAATGATTAATCAATGAATAAAGTTGATTTCCTGTTTGTCCTCCAGAGTTCCCGAGCACCTTGTGAGGAGTATAACGTGGCAGACTCTAAAAGCTGTAAACTTCTGTCACAAACAGAACGTGAGTACCTTTATTTCCTCTGTGTGTAAATGTGTGAGTTGTTTCCCTCCTCTTTAAACCCTCCTCCTCCTGCTTTATGACTCCTTTCTTTTTCTTTTCTTTTACGAGAATTCCTCCTCGGCTGAGCAGCAGTTAATGTTTCACTGAGAGACGAAAACACACCAAACAACAGAGTCGTTAAAAACACTGTTTCAACACAAAACACTTTTATTATCTGTGTCTTACAATCAAGAGATGGGAGAAGTACTCAGATCTTGTACTTGAGTAAAAGTAGAAGTACTCAGATCTTGTACTTGAGTAAAAGTAGAAGTACTCAGATCTTGTACTTGAGTAAAAGTAGAAGTACTCAGATCTTGTACTTGAGTAAAAGTAGAAGTACTCAGATATTGTACTTGAGTAAAGTAGAAGTACTCAGATCTTGTACTTGAGTAAAAGTAGAAGTACTCAGATCTTGTACTTGAGTAAAAGTAGAAGTACTCAGATCTTGTACTTGAGTAAAAGTAGAAGTACTCAGATCTTGTACTTGAGTAAAAGTAGAAGTACTCAGATATTGTACTTGAGTAAAAGTAGAAGTACTCAGATCTTGTACTTGAGTAAAAGTAGAAGTACTCAGATCTTGTACTTGAGTAAAAGTAGAAGTACTCAGAACTTGTACTTGAGTAAAAGTAGAAGTACTCAGATATTGTACTTGAGTAAAAGTAGAAGTACTCAGATATTGTACTTGAGTAAAAGTAGAAGTACTCAGATATTGTACTTGAGTAAAAGTAGAAGTACTCAGATCTTGTACTTGAGTAAAAGTAGAAGTACTCAGATCTTGTACTTGAGTAAAAGTAGAAGTACTCAGATCTTGTACTTGAGTAAAAGTAGAAGTACTCAGATATTGTACTTGAGTAAAAGTAGAAGTACTCAGATCTTGTACTTGAGTAAAAGTAGAAGTACTCAGATCTTGTACTTGAGTAAAAGTAGAAGTACTCAGAACTTGTACTTGAGTAAAAGTAGAAGTACTCAGATATTGTACTTGAGTAAAAGTAGAAGTACTCAGATATTGTACTTGAGTAAAAGTAGAAGTACTCAGATATTGTACTTGAGTAAAAGTAGAAGTACTCAGATCTTGTACTTGAGTAAAGTAGAAGTACTCAGATATTGTACTTGAGTAAAAGTAGAAGTACTCAGATCTTGTACTTTAGTAAAAGTAGAAGTACTCAGATCTTGTACTTGAGTAAGTAGAAGTACCAGAGTGTAGGAATACTCTGTTACAGTAAAAGTCCTGCATTCAAAATGTTCCTCAAGTAAAAGTAGAAAAGTATTCTCATCAAAATATAGTTAAAGTAGCGACAGTGAAAGTAGTCATTGTGCAGATTGGTCCATTTCAGAATAATATATATGATATGTTTTATAATGATTGATCATGAAAGTGTTCTCAACGCTGGTGAAGGTGCAGCTAGTTTGAATGACTTTGTATACTGCAGGGTAGCTGGTGGATTTACTCCAGGTGGAACTAAAGTCTGATTTAACACTTGATTATATTTCACATCTGCAGGATAAAAATAAATAGGGTATATAAACAGCAAGGTAGAGTACGGTGTGTAAATATAACAGTATGAATATGAATGAATGTGTTCCTGTGTCTGCAGTGCATCCACAGAGACGTGAAGCCAGAGAACATCCTGATCACCAAACAGCAGGTCATCAAACTCTGCGACTTCGGATTCGCCCGGATACTCAGTGAGTACATACTAAATACACAAGGGTAATCACAAGACAAGACACAGCTGGGCAGGGGAGGCAGAAACACAATGGCCCAATTCCAAACCGCCCCCTACACCTCCGTTTGCACGTTCCCATTAATAATAATAATAATTCCTTACATTTATTATAGCGCTTTTTCAATGACTCAAAGCGCTTTACATATACACACATTACACATTACATGCAATGGTCAGATACTGTGGACAATACCCACAGGAGCAAGTTCAGGTGAAGTGTCTTGCCCAAGGACACACCCCTTGATCTGATGATCGCACTGCGCCACACCGTCCATCTTCACGCCTCGAGGTCATCGAGGCGCTTTTACAAGTACACATTGGTATTATACATGTACTGTGGACAATACCCACAGGAGCAAATCCGGGTGAAGTGTCTTGCCCAAGGACACAACGGCCTGACGCAGTGGCGGCAGGAGCGGGTTTCGAACTGGAGTTCCCCAGCACTCCCCCTTGATCTGATGATCGGATGCACAGACCACTGCGCCACCCGTGCTGTTCCAAACCAACGAGTGTGGAAGGGAGTGGGCTATCAAGCCCTCAAACAGCGAGTCTGCAGCGGTGCTGACTGGAGACCGGTCTCTACCTGACCGGAGTCACGCTGTGTGTGTCCGTCAGGAAACAAGCTGTTTACAAGTAGTTCCAGCCACTGATCCATCCATTATCCACTGATAAACTGCGATGTTAACAACCTCATGATAACCTCATATGTTTTTAACTTAGGATCATACCCGTGTTTAGTCTAGAAAAATGTAAATGTGTGCATTTTATTATAAAGTTGTGTATATTTACAGACTGTTGCAAAAACTAAGAAGCTTATAAACATCAGTTTTAAAACTAAAAGACAACACAATTAAAGATGTTTGGTGTTTTATTTTAGTTATTCATTTTAATGTTTTGTCTAAGAGATGCTGATTTGAAAGCGTTGTTACATACAGTTACGGCATTTCCTGTTTCTGCCGGAGAGAGGGGAATTTGTCCCAAAGCTTGCCGCTGTATTTACTCCCTCCATCTGACGGGAGGGAGCCTCGTTGAATGGGTAGGGTGTGGTTTGGAATTGGGCCAATGAGACAATCAGACAGGAGGGAAAACACAGACAGGAAGCAACTGCAGACATTAGACAGGGGGTGAACACCTTTCAAAGTAAAACGGGAAAACAAAGACAGATCTTGACAGTTATATATATCCTGTGTGTACCCCAGCGGGCCCCTGTGATTACTACACGGACTACGTGGCGACGCGCTGGTATCGGGCCCCCGAGCTGCTGGTGGGCGACACGCAGTACGGCGCCCCGGTGGACGTGTGGGCGGTTGGCTGTGTGTTCGCTGAGCTGCTGTCGGGGGTCCCACTCTGGCCCGGAAAGTCTGACATGGACCAGCTGTACCTGATCCGCAGAACCCTCGGTAAATATTATTTTATATTAAAGGGGACCTATCATGCAAAATGCACTTTTTGATGTCTTTTAAACATAAATATGTGCCCCGGTGTGTCAGGGAACTCACGCAGCGTCAGAAAATAAAACCCTCTCTTTTCCTCCGTACCCAAATCTCTAAAAACGGGCTACAACGAAGCTGATACAGATTTGCGTCCGATATGACGTAATATCTGAAATGTGGACCCACGGCCCAATCAGAAACGTTGCTATCAAAAACAATGCCCGACTGTTTTGGACGTAATATGGTCTTTGTTTACATTAGCATGGCTAACACTCAGAGCTAACCTGTACTGGAGAGAGCGTGTGTAAAAAAAGCAGTAAATAAAAAAAGGAACTCACCTTGTGGTAAACCCGCAAGAGAAAAAGCATTTGAGCTCCATACTGTTTCAGAAATAATCCTTGATGTGGTTTGGAACATGATGGCGTTTAATCACGGCAGAATTTAGCTGTTTCTGCCGGTAGAATTCTGAGCAGGCACAAGCTCCCCCTACCCAGATCAGCCGTTCTCTAACAGGGCTGGAATAGAGGAAAGGTTGGAAATGTTACCTGGGACAGAATTACATGTGTAAATGTGCTGTAAACGCTTGCCTACGTTTACAGGATGAATGAATGTTTATGTGTGTGTTCCTGCAGGAGATCTGACCCCCCGACATCAGCAGGTGTTCAGTAGCAACCAGTTCTTCTGCGGGGTCTCCATCCCCGAGCCCCAGCAGAAGGTGAGAGGATCTGAACCGGCTGAATTCAGAAAGCTTCTTGCACTTATATTAGTGAAGTGACCACGATATCCATTTGTTTTAGTCTTTTGTCCGTGATTCACTCGTGGGCTGACCGATGAATTGACGCTTGTTGTTTGAGAGAAACAATTTAAGAAATGTCCAGATGCAATTGAAAAGTAAAATATGCTTGTTTATTCCAAAAAACGCAGTGGAAAAAATAATTTTCAAACAAACTATTTCTCATATAAACTGATAATTCAAATATTAAAGGCACAATAAGGAACCAAGCTGTCACGCTCCCAACCAGCAAGGTCTAAAGACTTTTATGCTGCAAAACCCGACCTGCAGGAGTAACACGACCAAATGAAATAATAAATAATATACACCACAACATCTTATGCTATAAATGTACTCTAAAGGTCCTTCCACACCAAGCCGATTTTGGCGTTGATAGATGTCGATAGATGTCGATAGATGTCGATAGATGTCTGGCCGTCGATGAGCATCCTGTCGCCCTACTCAGATTGGTGTGTCCCGCCCCGGCGTGTCTTTTCGGCCGTGCCGACACCTTCCGCCGCCGATTCAACAGGCTGTCGGTAAAAGGCCGTCGGCTAAAGAAATCACTCTGATTGGCTGTTCAGCTTAGCGAATCAGTGCATGAGAAGCGAAACGGAAGTGTGGGACCCAAACAAACTATTAAGAAGGCAAATCTGAGATTTCATTTAACTCCAGCTCTCGACACAGGTTCGGGAAAGCCCCGTGAGCTTCTCGCTGTAGAGTGAAAATGGAACGCACACGCTTCTTCTTCTCTCGGTGTATCACTCAGTCTGGGTGTTTCTCAATCGCGAGTACTCTTGCTTAGTAGCACATGTCTGCCGAGCATCTTGCTTCAGAAGCGAGTCAAGAATACTTCCTGACATTTGGAAAACGAAGAATGGAACAGGTGAGCAAGTGTGCGTCATATGAGAGGCCCCGCCTTACATTTTCCGCCACAGATTTTGGAAATTGGTCCGTGCGCAAAGCATTGTGGGGATTTTAAGACCGCGGAGTCTACTCATGTGCAGCCTCGATATTTCTCCAAACGGAGTACGCCGGGCTCGGTAGATTTCCAAGTATGCTGGAGATTGGAACAGTACTTCGGCGGCACTCGATGACATAGTATGCTTGAAATAGTGGCTCTGGAGCAGCTTTACTCACGATTGAGAAACACCCTCTGTCTTCCGGTTGTTGCCTCTTTTGAATTAACGAATACACACTACCGCCGCCTGCTGGTAAGGAGAGTTATTGCCACTCACGCATGCGCAGTTCGTATGTGCTACTTGGCCGTCGGCTGAAGTCTTTGCGGTGTGTTCCAGTGCGACTGTTGGCCAAGACGCAGGAGACGTGAGGCGACGCAACAATCGGGTCCGTCGGGACGTGTTCTTTGGGGTCAGTTTGGTGTGTAGGGGCCTTAAAATTATAAATTAATATAAACTAAGGAAATGGCTCCTAAAATTAGTATTTTTAGATTGGATAATAAAGACTTTGAGAGTCTGCAAATTATACGATACGATATACTTTATTTGTTACATGTATATAAACATAATAAACATTCAAATACATTAAATAGTTTTGGTTCAGGTATTTTGAAACTGCTTTCTTTACATTTTCTAAAAGCTACTAATACCTGTGTTTGTGATGTTTTCTCTCTGCAGGAGCCTCTGGAGCAGAAATACCCAAACGTCTCTCACCAGGCTCTGAGTCTCATGAAGGTAAAGACGACTGTGTTTATTATTATCTGAGTTATAACACACCAGAGTCAGAATCTGTAGTTTAAGGAATGTAAGGTTAGATTTTAATCCAAGGTGATGTGAATGTTTTACAACAATTAGTATTTAAAGTAGTGCTGTCAAAATTATCACGTTAACGGCGGTAATTAATTTTTTGAATTAATTGCGTTAAAATATTTAACGCATTTAACGCATGTGCAGAATGGCCCGCCCCATACGTGCCACCAGTGGCAGCGCCAGGGTATGGCTGGGGTAGGCTACACCCATACCAAGAAATGGCTTAGCCCCACCATGAAAAATGATGTTAAAGTAAGCACAATAAAGTCTGCCAACTCGCGCGGAGTAAATTGCACAGACAGCAGTTAGTAAGATTGATTTCAGTAGCCACGGTTTTGAAAACTTTTGTCACGTAGTGATCGTCTTCTCAATAGAACATCTTTGATAACGGCGTGGTGCTGTTGCAGGAAGTCCCGACGGAGAATACTTTTGCTGTAGTACAGGGGTGCACATAACTGGTACGCAGGTTATGTGCGTAATCTGAAATGCGTACCGTCACTTGTGTCACAAAGCGCATTTGCGTACCGACGTACTTGTGAAGCTTTTCCAGAAGGCGGTTAGATCACCGGACGACAGAGTCGGTCTCCGTGTGCACAGACAGGGCTGCTGTTAACGTCGGTCTGTACAACGGAATTGTGCCAAAACTACGCCAACCGGCTGCGGAGGGAGACTTTCCCCCCCCCCTTCACTGGAGAACTGCGCTAAAACAGCTGATCACAACGTTCACACCCTGTGGTCACGAAGTACTCCACTAGCCGCCGCCCCCCCCCCCCCCCCCCCCCCGTCGACTTTCCTGAAGTACTCCCCCGTTGATAGAAATCAACACGTAATGAATTAAGACCCCACGGTTTGATGATTGATAGGTGTGTGGGTTGTCTTTCATTTTGACACACAGAATTTTTTTATAATAAACATATACTGTATGTTAAATGGATATATCCGCCTTCTTTCATTTATCTTTCCATTCCCACAACAATATACATAAATAAATGGCATATTTTGGACATAGTTCGAATGGTGATTAATCATGATTAATTAATTTTTAAACTGTGATTAATCTGATTAAAAATGTTAATCGTTTGACAGCCCTAATTTAAAGATTAATATAAAGGTTGTTGGTGATCTTTGAGTCAAAACTCAAAAATGTTCATGGAGCTGCAGGTCAAAGAAAAACGTTATGAAGAATTAAGTCTAGGGTGTAAAGGAAAAATGAGGAGAGGAACATTATTGAAAAAAGTCAGATTTCTGGAAAAAAGTCATTATCGAAATCTAAAGATTCAACCAAACAAAAGTCAGAAATCTCCAAAAAGTTCAAATTCAAAACAAAAAAAAGACCGCATTTTTGAGAAATAAGTCATAATAAAAAAAAGTCAAAAGTCTGAAAACAAATCTAAAGAAAAACGTATTTCTTTAAAAAGTCCGAAATCTAACAAAAGTCATAAATCTGAAAGAAAGTCACCAGAAAAAGTCAAAATATTAAAAAAAAACTCAAGTCATAACAAAGTCAGAATCAATTTTACAGGGTTGCCTGAGGATGGACCCCTCGGAGCGCCTGTTGATGGTTATAGTAATGTTTTGTAAAGGTTATAACAGTGTTTTATGTTTGTCTTGATGCAGGATTGCCTGAGGATGGACCCCTCGGAGCGTCTGTCCTGTGAGACGCTGCTGCAGCATCCGTACTTCGACAGCCTGCAGGAGAAGAGCAGCTCGTCTCAGGACCGCTCCGGGAACAGGAGGACCAGACTGACCCGAAAACACCTCCCTCCTGGGGTCAGTATGCTCCGTACAGAGAGCAGAAATCAGACAAAAAATACCAATAAACTACCATATTTATGTCAGTTTTTTAAATACTGAATATTTTCTTTTCAACTATCAAGCATCTTAAATATCAGCATATCAAAATGGTGTTCTTTTAAATAAATTCTAGTGTAAAGAACAGATGTATGTACACATTTAGTTGGGAAGTGTGTGGGAGAGAAACTCCCTCTGGAAGGAATTCAAGGATTTTAGCCTTTGCAGACCCTTTACATGCACACAAACCTATAGAATGGGTATGGGTAAAAAAGTTTTTAAATATGCTGCCCCTTCCGCTTGGAATAATGTACAGAAGGAGCGGAAACTGTCCGATTTGATCACCACGGGGGGTGCTGAGGGGGCTGCAGCACCCCCATCTGCGAGGCTCCACTAGCAACCCCCCCCCACACCCCCAACTCTGACTGACTTCCCGCGTCCCTGAGTCCATCTTAAAGGACAGAGAACAAGAATCCATTGGTCGATGTGATTGCTCTATCCCATAATTGAAGTAGTTTTAAATTGTGCCGGTTTTTTATGATTCATAATAGTTTCTTTTATTTGCATATTGACTGGTTAATGTGCCATTTAATTTGTGTTTTATGACCGCTGTATTCGTCTGCCTGTATTGTCTGTGTTTTATCTGTTGTAACTTTGTTCATGCTGCCCTGCTTGGCCAAGTTGCTCTTGGAAAAGAGATTTTAATCTCAATGACACTTTTTACCTGGCTAAATAAAGGATATATAGAACACACTACAGAAGGGGTGTCAAACTCAATTTCATCGCAGGCCACATCAGCATTATGGCTGTACTCAAAGGGCGGGTTGTAACTTTAAGACTATATATACATACATATATAAATATTTAATATATATAAAATAATGTATTATATTACATTATTGCCTCTTCATTGGATTATTATCAGATAGGGTAATAACTTCATAATTAACTACGTCTGAAAGCAGAAGTCTAGGGCAAATAATTGCAAGTCTCTTCAGTGAGAATGTCACAAAATGATTAAAAATAAAAGCTAAATTCTGGAAAAAAGTCACATTTGAGATGCATTGTGGGACATGTAGTTTATTGGGAATGTGCTTCTGTAAATCGGCATGTAGCCGTATAATAAACATGTTATATTCTTTCAGAGCTCTTGTGGGGCCGCATGAAATGAAGTCACGGGCCGGATTTGGCCCCCGGGCCTTGAGTTTGACACCCCTGCACTACAGGGATAAGAAAACCCCAAAACGCAGAATGGGATCTCTAAAATGCTCTGAAAATTGTCTTTTATGTTGTTTCTCTCTGCAGTATCTGCCTCAGCTGACGAGCAGCAGCATCTTCCCGTCGCTGGATAATAAAAAATACAACAACAACCTGCGCCGGTTCAACTACCACCTGCCCAACATCTGAGGAAATATCTAAACATTTTTAATTAACGAGAGGATTCAAACATTTTATAATGTTATGATCCTGATGTCACTCTATGCACTATTTGCCGACACGTGCACTCAGTGGGTATTTCTCAATGTCGAGGACGCTTCCTTGGTAGGACATGTCTTCCGAGTCACTTCCTTCAGAAGCGAGGCAAGAATCCTTCCTAGCCTCGGAAAACGAAGAATGGAGGAACAGGCGAGCAAGTGTGCAGGTGTGCGTCATGAGAGGCCCCGCCACAGATTTGTGAAATTGGTCCGTGTGCAAAGCATTGTGGGGATTTTAAGACCGCGGAGTCTACACCATGTGCAGCCTCGAAATGTCTTGCTACGAAGGACGCCGGGCTCGGTAGAATTCCAAGGATCCTGGACATTGGAACAGTCCTTCGGCGGGACTCGATGACGTAGCATCCTTGAAATAGTGGCTCTGGAGCATCCTTCCTTGACATTGAGAAACACCCAGTTTTTTTATCTGATTTTCGTGTATTTTGTGTAGTTTTTTAAAGACAAAGACCGCCGCTCTGCTTGTAAAATTGAAGGTCCGTGTACTGCCTTTCCTTTGTTTGCCAAATGTATTTTTTATATATAACGATGGGGACTCTTTGAAAGAAAAATGTTTTTAGTGAGTTTTTGACACAAACTTTGATATTTCTGAAACTATTTATTGACGTCAGGACTGAATATTCTTGAAATATTACGTAATAAATTGATTAATTGTCATATATGTACACAATTTTATAATAAACAGCCTGAATGCAACATGTCCCAACTTCCCTGCATTTAAAAAAAAGTAATTATTACATATTGCTGTAGTTAGTCGGACTGCAACGATTAATGAATCATCAGAAACATTTATTTTCACTCATTTGTATGCAAACATTTCAGAAACTGCTGTTTTAATCCTTTAAAATCTAAATGTTTGCTGATTTTCTCTTTTTTATATCATAATAAAGTGAATATCCTGTATTTTAGAAACCGGGATGGATGTTTTTCCCCATTTTATGACATTTTATAGGCTTAAAAATGTAACAATTAATGATATAATTAAACTGTAAAAATACATGCGATTGAAATAAACAACCAAAATATTTGTCTTAATCTGTACATATTATATATTTTAGCTAGGGATACAGTGAAACTTGGTGTAGTTTTGGCCAATACAATATAATAAAATTTAACTAACTAACAATATATTTTTGAAATGCATGCTGTAATGCATAAAATCAACATATTGTGATTCGATTGGTTCTTACATAATGAATTAATATAGAAACTGAAAACGTGTAATAATTGACTACATTGTGTTCAAGCTGTTTATTGCATAAAGAAATGAGCATTCATAACATGTGTAGTTATAACATGCTGTGTTTTCGCAACAACAACATTGACAGCCATCTGTCCTCACATATCCTACAAATGCCAAATGAATGTAAAAATCTAAAGAAAAAATATTCTTGAATCCTTTGCAACTTGTTTTTCTCTTTGTACAAACACATGGAGTCACCTTTAATACCTTGAATGTTGAAAATATAATATTAAACTACAGATTTGTTCGAGAAAAACTATAAATAAAGTGATTCATTTTCATTTGAGTGCTTATTACTTTCCCATGCTGCACATCATGGACATTCACTTTAAGCTGAAGCATCTACATGTTCCCTCTAGTCCTGGGGATTTTATTTTGTAGCGCCTCTAGGAGAGGGCGTCTAATCGCTCAGGTCCAGAGAGATGTCGAGCTTTGGGAGCGCCGTCTGCAGCCGGCTCACCGTCGTCTTTCTGTCTCTGATCCCCGGCAGGTCGCTCAGGAATAGGAGCTCCAGGTTCCTGAGGGAATATCATACTTTCATTTAAAAGGTCCCTTATTTTACTGTTTTTCATCAATATATTACACGTCTCAGATATAAAACATGTCTCTGATTGGCTGAAACACCAAACAGATCATTGCAGCATTACCCATAATCCCCTCTGTTTCAGCCCTGTTTCCAAAGTGCTGATTCTCTGTCTGTTACTTTAGATGAAAATAAGGAGCCCCTCCCCACGCCCCTCTGAGAGACATTTGGTTACAAAGAACCAGTGGCGAAACGTCAGGGCCTTCAAGGTATTCAGAGAATACCCTGGAACACTCAGATAAAACAAACAAAACATCGATTTAATTATATAAATAAAATGTATAAATGAGAATCGTATCTGTGTTGTTGATCTGTAATATTACAGTGTTACGTTGATTTGTTTGTCCTTCTCGGACCATGCTCTACGCATTTCAGTGGTTTTGTGTTAGAAAAGAAAGCAACCAATCAGATCTTGTTCTGGGTCTCTGGGTAGAATATCCTTCACCAAGGTATTCTACATCCTTGATAGAATGCCCTGGCCGTTGCACTGAATGAGAGCGTACGTTTGGACTGACAGTTTGATCAACCAATCATATATTGATTTGTAGCCAATGGGCGTATTCTTTCAGAGTTTCCCTCGGTTCCAGGGTATTCTAGAAGGCCCGCTAGTTAACTGGAGAGAGACAGAGGATATATTATAGATGAATGCGACGAAGCAATTCATGCCGTTTTATTGTTTTTAACGTTGAAATGACAAGTGCAACAGGTGAAGATGAAGTTGTTGCAGAATTGTTGTGAGTACCCTTTTCAAGACGACAATTCAGTGACAAGACGGACATTATAATGCCGCGGAGGGGGGGGGGGGGGCGACCTTCTGTGTGTCTACAGAAGGTCCAGTTGTGATAGCCATGGTTCGCCACTGCAAAGAACACAATGGTGCTCTAGGAGGAGATTCAGGTGATAAGGTGGGGGGGTACCTTGGTTGGTGATTGGCTAATGGTTACACAAGCCAAAAAATAGTTATGACATCGTAAAGTGGCCAAAATCTGATCAGCTCATTTTCAGACAGGTTTTTATAGAAATGGATCAAAAAGAGAGAGAATCTTTGTTCCTGAAACTTTCAGAGTCTCTTTCCACAAAGGGGACACATGTTGATGTAGAAGAGACATGAAGAAGAAGAGACACATGTTGATGTAGAAGAGACATGAAGAAGAGGGGACACATGTTGATGTAGAAGAGACATGAAGAAGAGGGGACACATGTTGATGTAGAAGAGACATGAAGAAGAGGGGACACATGTTGATGTAGAAGAGACATGAAGAAGAGGATTTTGCATATCAGGTGACAAAATGGATCACTCAGAGTAATTTCAAAGTCATACATCTTTGCAAAGAAGCAGATGTGATATTTCTAAGGAATGCTTGTATATAGATACATCTCATACCTCCAGAAAATCAAAACACCATAATTGGCTATTCCTCAAAATGACAGAAAAACAACATGAAAACCTCAGTTTGCTAACTCTCACAAAACTGCAGAAGGAAAGTGACATCGTCCTGTTTTAAGATCCCTACTTCACGTACACAGGACTTTTACCTAAAACTGCACTATTTAAACCCTTCAACTGCTTCTCTTGTGCTACTCGTCTGTGGGAGTATTGTTGATGCGTGCTTTAATAGGTGCAGTTTTAGTGAAGTGTTTCTGACATCGTGCACATGAGACTTTTATGACAAAATGGAAGAAGAGAACGTGAACACAGATTGACCCATTCTTTCCCAAACTCCTGGAGAATAATAAAAAAAGTCTAATTCATCCAGACCAGTGCTTCTCAAAGTGTGGTCCGCGGTCTGCGTGAGCGTCCCCTAGTGGTCCGTGAGTATATTGGTAAAATTTCACATTTGAAATAAATACATTTCAGTTTTCCGCACTCTCGCGGGAATATCTCCGCAATGGAGCGAGGTTAAGTTTCACTTTCGATTGCATGATATAGCCCAGAGCAACACCTTCATCACACATGTTGACACTTGTTTGTACCATTTTCAGGCGATTTGTAATCTGTTCTAGAAAAACGATGTGTTTTTTGATATTTGTTGAGTTAGGTGGTCCACGAATGTTTTGGTATTGGTCAAGTGGTCCTTGGTATGAAAAAGTTTGAGAAACACAGATCCAGACCATACTCTTCACTAACACAGGACCTTGGTGCATCATGATATAATGTAATGTATAAGTTACAGTAAGTGCAGTACTGCAACACAAGTGATCTTATAAGTGACAATTTAAAGATATATGTAAATATCTTGGATATTTATTATTCAGCAGGAGTTGTGTGAGAGTTTCTAAATGGATGTATTCATTTGCTGTTGTTAAAACAAAAATTCATCAAGACTTTTCTACGATTTTTTTATTCTTCGTTCACCGTGAAAGCATGACATTTTATTTTGGTATTCAAGATAACAAATGGTCATTTTATGGGTGAAGTATCCCTTTAATCTCCCTGTTGTTTCGGTTAATAATCACCTGAGTTTGTGCAGGGCGATGAGGCCCTTGTCGGTCACATTTCCACACGACACCACCTCCATGCGGAGCAGACTCTGCTGCAGGTTCTCGATGGTGCTCAGCCTCTCCAGACACATGTCCTCGATGTAGATACACCGGTTCAGCTTGATCTCCTCCAAGTGCTGCAAACCATCTGGAAACACACACACTTTACTGATTAGGTTTCCAGAGAGGGATTTAACACCTGAATAAATCTCTTAACGCTCGGTGTAAAACATCCCGGCAGCGTGCGTCACTTTGGGACGATCAGAGAGAGATTCACTTTCCTGTTAACACAGAGAATCTCTTTCAGGTTAATGTGAAGCTCAGGTTAATGCAACATTTAGACTTTCTGAGTGGAGCTTTAATCTTTGATTGATCCGGCGCTTCAGGCTGCTAACAGGCCGGGGGCCGAAACGTAATACTCTGTTAAAACGAGCGGAAAGATTCTGTTACACGGCAAGTAACATGAATATTTACTATATTAAAACTACAATAGAAATAAGAAAAAAATATTCAAGATAAATGTGTAGAAACTTAGGTATGGAATATAATTTAAAAAAATAGAAGACATTTATGATGGAATAAAAATAAATAAATAATATTTAGAATAGACATAAATGTATAATATAATGAAAATACCGCAAAAAAATATGTTAATATACTTAATTGCATCTCTTGTAAGAACATGAATAATTTATTTTGACTTGCATATTTTTCATTTCTAAATCATTCTACAGAAAAGGTGGAATCTGGGTGATACAAATCTGCTGAAATAGATTCCTTCTAAAAACATCTAAAACCTGTTAAATAGCAATAACTAACTCTTAACTTGATGAATCCACAACAAGTAGAGCTTAAAGTATTTTTATTTTTTAAATTATTTTTATACAAAGCTTATTTGTATAGGAATGTCACTGGTGTTACGTGTTACCAGGAAGAAGAGTAACACCAGTGACAATTTGGAGAAAACACTACCATTTTAACAAAATGGCTGCAATGTGTCTGACCAAATATGGCTTCAGTCAATATCAAAATTGTTTAACTCTTCAATACAATACATTTTCCAATGTTCACCCCTAGGGCTATGCCATGAGTAACACTAATGACAAACTTGAAAGACGCATGTAAAATGTGAAGATAAAATGACACCTTTAACAAACAAAGTAAGAAGTATCTGACTTTCCTTATGTCTTTGTGCACTGCCTCAAATGATCTCTTGTTACAGGAGGCACTTCAGAGACAGTACATTACTTCAAAAATAAAAGCGTTTTGTGTAGCAGTAACACCAATGACGTAATTTTAGGTGACTGACATTTATTTGATATTATTAATAATAATTTGCGTTTTTTGTTACCATTTCAGTGTTATATTTAATGCTTGTAATGTTATGTAAATTCGATTTATTTATTGAAAAAAATCTTTTAAATTAAAACTATAGGCCCCACTTCCATGTATGATCAAAGTGACAAAGTTCCTTGAACTTGGCATTTTAAATAAATTGCAATTTACGTATAAAACCATTTTTTATTTAGTTTTTATTTAGTACCATTGCAAAGACAATCTCTATTTATTCAACATATATAATGAATGTGAGTATTAGGTCAACGTCATGTATTTTGGTGTCTGCAAAAGTAAGTGACAGCACTTCCACCTTTTCTGTAGAATGACCCATTCCTGGTTTTAGTCCATGCCTATGTGGAGTGAAATGTAAATGTTGTTTATTTCTTTCTCACTGTGCTCACGTACCCAGGTGGTCGAAGCCCCGGTACATGATGCAGGACTCGGTGGCGTCGATGCCCTGGATCTTGAAGCGGCCCAGGGGTCCGGTCGGCAGCGCGTTGTAGTCGTGCTGCCAGCGGTCCAAACCCTGGAACCGGACTTTGGCCCCGCAGCGGAGCAGCCACTCTGCGGCGGCCCGGTCCGGACCCACCGTCTGGATCCGCTCATAGTCCACTCTGAGGAACACAATTTAAAGTCAACTTCATACTGTCCAAATACACTTTCTTTATACATTTTCTCAAACATAAAAATGTTCTGACAGCCCTTTAAATCATTCGGCAAAGAATTCCACTTCTTTACGCCAAGAGACACACATCTGCTTTAAAGTAGTACGTGCAAACTGATGCTTAAAATGTAATTTCCTCCTACATATTAAAGTACCAGAGAAGGGGAGGAGGTGAAGTCAAGGAGGGTCACAGGAAATACAAGTCTGATTTAAGAGTTGATTATATTTCACATCATTAATCTGAATCTGTAGAGTAACTAAAGGTATTAAATATATGTAGTAAAGTACAACATTAACCTCTGAATTGTAGTGGAGTAGAAATGCAAAGTAGCATGAAATGAAATTACTCAATTAAAGTACAAGTCCCTCAAGATTGTACTTAAGTTCAGTACTTGAGTTACATTACATTACATTTAGCTGACGCTTTTATCCAAAGCGACTTACAATAAGTACATTCGACCAGGAAGACACAACCTTGAAGAAAACAGAATCATATAAGTACATCAGGTTTCATAGAGCCAAACATTTCAAGTGCTACTCAACTGGCTTTAGATAAGCCAGTCCTTTATTAGTATATAAGTGCTTTGTTAATAAATCTATCGCTCGAAGTGGAGTCGAAAGAGATGAGTTTTCAGTTTGCGCCGGAAGATGTGCAAGCTATCTGCTGTCCTGATGTCAATGGGGAGCTCATTCCACCATCTTGGAGCCAGGATAGCAAACCCACGTGTTTTTGCTGATGGGAACTTGGGTCCCCCTCGCAGCGAGGGCGCAGCGAGTCGTTTGGCTGATGCAGAGCGTAGTGCACGCGCTGGGGTGTACAGTTTAACCATGTCCTGGATGTACGAAGTAAATGTACTTAGTTATTTTACACCACTGGATATGATCAGTTATCTCCATGCATTGCAGTGTATCCATAAGTTAGCAAATGCAGCTCTATCATTTATCTATGTTGCAATAATATATATATATATATATTGATTTTACTTGTTAAACACTGCATTGAGCCATCCCCAGAAGTGTCTGCGGCTGCTCTCCCTCTGAGACACTGCGCACTGCACTGCCCGAGTTAACAGCCTCATATCTGAAAAACACAAACAAAATAAACTATATTATAAAACTACACTAGTATATCTTTCTGTATGCTATTGCTCTAACAAGGTACACAAATAAATACTGAAAATGCGTCACAGACAGAATAATCTCACCTTCCTCCAACTCTGTTTACATTTGAGACGCGTCCATTGCTCTGACCTCTTGTGTACTTACGTACAGAAAAGCGTGCTCGCTGATTGGCTGAACCGAGAGCGCCGTAAGGGGGCGTGTTAACGTGTCAGATTTCAGGATGTAGCATCATGCTAACAGCAGGAAACAGGAGGGAGGAGGAGACTCAAAACTGATACTCTGGATGTGTTTCTGACAGTTATACAATGGAGTGTGAGGGTTACTGAACTTCGTGATCATGATCCGGACTTTTTGTGGAGCGACTGTGAAGGCTGTCGGGACCGCGAGGCCCATAAAGGAGGTCAGACGGCTACACAGGTACAACATGCTAATCAGGTGTTACTTGGTAGGATAGAGAATTAGCAGACTAGCATCTACCTACATGGATACTTAATGCATGTTTGTTTTAACACATATAACATCAAGAGATTCACGCTATTTTAGAAGGAGGAGGTGAACAATGTTTGTTTAGGATTCTTTTTAAATGATATCTTGAAGCAAAATGACAACAAATAGCTTCAAATCAAGCACATGTATGGCTCTGAATCTTATGTAATACCAATCTTTTAAAGGTGTCACATTTCAGCTTTAATTGCACAGTTGAGTACAAAAAGTTGGCAACTTTAAAAACAGGTTATGTGGATTATATCACATGTATTTATTTATTGTCCTTATACATTTTTATTTAATTAAAATCCGGAAATGTTTTGGTGCATAGCCAATGATTTTCTTTTTGTTGGGAGTCATTTGTGATTTCTAATGGGTCTGTGTGTTTTTTAGGGGATTTGACTTTAAGACACGCAATATAACACTGCACTGCTTTATGCATATGTCTGGAGACTTATTCCCATTGTGGTCCCCTAGTATAATAACTCTTATCATGCCATAAGATAATAAGAAACGAACATAATTGCCCATAAGAACTTTGTCAGTATATTCAGTTACAAGCACATATTGAAAGGCTCCTTCAAAAGTTAAATAAATGCAACATAACACAAAAGAAAGGAAGTAAAGTTTATTAAATACATTTCCTTTCATTCAACAGGATCACACAGTGCTTTACAAGAGTATAAATTAAATTAAATAAGGCCATAAAAACAGCCAAAAAAGAGAAACCATTAATGTATTGAGTGCAGTTCATGGACGAAGAACATTCAGTTCCATTGTTCCCGGTGCAAAATAAAACATATGGTGCAAACAACACGACACGCAGTCTGCTACAGGACAAGATGCAAGCTGTGGAGAAATAACCTGAACTTTGAAACCAGTTATTTATTAACACCACAAGTGAGAAACTAACTTTTAATAATTGCCAGTCAGAGCCAAGGGCATTCAGCTGTAGATTACGTAACACCTCTCTCTGCAGAACCCGATCTGTTACAAGGTGACAATGCACTTACTGGTGGTTGTCGTGCATACAATAAACACTTCGGGAGCGATACTGGTTAAGAAGAATTGATGTCCAAACGGTCTTTACCCTTTTATTCGTCCTGCATTGTATTCCTTTTACCATCTGTTACTTATTAGTACTTCAAGAGAAATGCAAAAAATAATCTGTGTAGGCCTATGTGTCAGGGCTGCACGATCATAGGCAAAATGATAATACAAGTTATACTTAGATTTTAAGGACAGATTATTTCATTCGAGTTTCACATTTAAATACACAGAGCTCTGCTTCTACTTCCATGTTTTGCTGCTTTTCGGAAAATGTACAAATCTTTGCATCAAAATGAACCGGCTCTTCACTCAGAGGGCGTCTCCTCCTAGAAGCAAAATAAAACCGCTCCACATCTTTTCACCCCCGAAAGAAATCAACAGCTTTCACTTCCGCCGTGCTGCGTTCCTGCAACAAGGAGTAAACTAGTCCATGTAAACATTTATAAATCAAGCACATTGGTTATCGTGATACTGTGTGCTGCACCAGTAGGGATGGGTATCGTTTGAAATGTATCGATTCCGATTCCGATTCCGGTTCTGCTTATCAATTCCGGTTCTTATCGATTCCCCGTTTCGATTCCAAAATTGTAAAAGAAAGAGGTCAAATGTTTAGATAACAAAAATATATTTATTCTTTTCAGCTTTAACTGAAATTGTTACAAATGAAAAATATACATGCAATACAAATGTATTGCACAATAGCTGTGCTTTATTTTAACTGAGCTATGCCTGTGGCAAGCTATTAACACTGTGCCCAATTGTCTTTTTATTTTTTAGTGTAGTGGAGCCTCACTTCAGAGCGTTTACCGCGACCCATCTTTGGTGTTATGAAGTGACTGAGCTCGTGAACTGTCTACGGGAGGGCGGGGGGAGCCTCGCTGCGGGGCAACTGTGGACCTCTGTCGCTTGTCAGCGCAACTTACATGATGCCGTTTAAAAAAAATAAGGGCGGTGCCGGCCATCAGCGTACCGAGCCGGCCGTCAACGGCCCGCTGACGACCGGCCGTTCTGTGATTCTCCAGGTCCGCCCTGTATTCCACCGGGTCACCGCGGTACAGACGGACCCGCTGGAATACAGGGTCTACCGCGTTTAGGAACCGTTAAGCAGAACCGAAAAGGTGTATTTTGTACGGGTACCCGGTACCCGGCATTTTCTTATCGGTTCTCATCTGGAACCGAGTTTCGGTTCCCAACCCTATGCACCAGTCAGTCCCTATTGTTGAGCCCACTGTCCTTTTATGAAGGAATGCCTGCAGCATGTGTTTCTTGTTAGACCTAACAGAGGTCTCTCTCTTTTTCCTTTTCCCTCGTAATCAAGTCCAGCAAGAAGTTTCATAACTGATCAAATGTTCTTCGGGTTTCAGCAGGAACAGCGCTGCACATTTTTGCAAGTTCAGGCAGTCACCCAGAAAACCCCCTTAAAGCCATGTTTCCTCCCAGTTATTTGGGTTGTCCTGATTCAACCTGAAGGTTCAGATAAGTGGACTGTGCTGCTTTTTTCTGCACTGCTTGTTTTGTTCCAATGTTCAGAGATGGAAACAAGCTGTTGGCTGTTCCCGGCCTCCTGTGGGAGTGAAGCTCTGTAAATCACAGAGCTTAATTCCCAGCCTTCAACAATGTGTTTATCCAGCTCTTTGCAAAAGCTGCATTGTGGGAAATCTTCAGTTCCGTTTTTCCTAGAACTGCCGTTTATACTCAGAACTAAAAAGCCTCTATCTTTATAAAAAGTGTTTGCAGTGGATGCAGTCTTGTGACACAGCTGGAGATTCTCCAAACACTGAACTCTCACATGTTTCTCCACTGAAGTCTGATCATTACTGGGGGGTCGCCAAAGCGTTGTAGGGCTGATTTTGAGACCGTAAAATACAAATATATTTATTTATATAAATAAATAATTACAATTATATATTTGGCCTTCATTTAAACTCTTAAGCCCCACTCTTAAGATTTAATAAACTATGAATGTTTCATATCCATGTAACGGGAAGAAACTCAGCTAACTGATATTATTATTTTTTTTCAGCAAAAAAAAACACAAGGCTAACGCTGAGCCTCTGAATTAGCCCCGAGCGAAAAAATGCTAACGCCGTTTGCACAGAAAACAAGGTATAACACCATTATTACTTATCGTAACTGCACATCCAACATATCGATTAGCATCGTGAGAATACACAGAATCGATAGGTATCTATATAATCACTCCATGATAAGAACTCGCGACATTATAAACAAAAACAGACAAAACACGACGTAGCTTTAGGTAGCAAAAACGGCATATGTCTCACCTTAGCTGTTATTCTGATCAAAAGTCGTGTTCAATGGCATTAAATCGAGAAAAAACGCGGCTGAAGGTTAATCCATAGGTTAATCCAATGTGTCCGTCACTTTGAAAAAATGATTGATGATCCATAATTCAATTTTTATGCAAAAATCGGAGAAAACAAATGTGCTGCTAATGGTAGCCCCCAGAGTGTGTCGCAGCTCCGGTTTTGGCTACGCGTCACTCTCACTCCTTATTTGGTAACCTGTGTGTGTATGTGGAACCTCCCCTCGATTCCATTGGCTCTGACGGTTAAAAAGAGATGTCAATCATCAAAATGGACCGAGGGGAGCCAGAGATAGGTCAAATCCACCTAAATGACCCCAGAAGTGTTTTTTGTGTGCTAAATCTCTCTAAAAAAGTCAAATTTCACTTGTTTTGCATCAATCTTGATACAGGGTACTTATTCTATGTTGTACTTTGGATTCCTAAAGCTTTTAGTCTACTAACCCATCATCCAAGGGTGGTTTTCACTAAGTAAAAAATATTTTTTTTTAATTGTTTTACTATGTTCAATCTGAATTTTCTTTAAAATAAAAAACATCTATATTGATTCTGACTTTTCTACATCCAACTCACAGGTTTATCATTACTTTGAGAAAAAAGATTATTAATTTTGCCCTTTTTAGAAGGGAAGATATGATCATTTGTTCTGGGAATGTCATTTTCGAGCCTGAGACCTGAAAAACAGGCTTGGGGCTTAACAGGTTAAGGATGTTTTTTTATTTTTTATTTATACTGTTTAAAACGAGTTTTTAAATGAATACTGTTTGTGACAATGCCCGAGCGGCCATGGAGGCAAAATAGGAGAAGCATGCAGGTTGGTGTTTTTCCACAGAAAACTGTTTTATTTTTCCATCCACTGTGACAACATGGCGGCCCTCCACAACCCTAGGCCTTAGACTCAGGTCCCTGGTTAGCCACTCCCCCAAATCAGGAGAGATTGCTGACACCTGATTTGAGTTGACTGCTCAGCTACAAGTATGGGTGCCTGAGCAGTGAGTCTTTCTCTCCTCTTGGGTTTGCTTGGCTCTACTGGACCTTGGTTTGGTTGTCCTTTCTTTATATACTGATGCATGTTCACACACCCACACACTACACACATTACTGATTAACTGACTTCATAGTTAATTTAGTTTCTTTAAATAAATGCACTTCAATTGGATGAATCATGTGTGGTCTCCTTCCTTTGTCCGTCCTTGAGCTAGGGCGTGACATGGGGGCTCGTCTAAAGTCAAAAGTCAAATTTTGACATACATTTTGTTGGTATGAATTTATTTTCTGTGCTAATTTAGGTTGGAGTATCACACATGGATGTAGTTGTTTTGGAGAGCTTTATTATAATCTAGTTTGGGCCAGTTTTCTTTGAGGTAAATATGCTAAATGTTTGGTGTGGCATGTGACTGGTGTTCTCCTCTGTGAGGCCAAGCAGCAGGTTCTAATAGAGAGTCTGTTGTCAGGGGTTGGGTTTAGTGTGACAGAGAAAGTGGCCAGAGCAGTTGTCTCGGGATCACGTCCATGGTTTCTTGTGGGGTCGCTGTGTATACAGTTGCTTTCCAGT